ACCCCCGCGTTTATATTAGTTTTGCCTCTCTGAATTCGCATTAATAGGTTTTAATATATTTGATGTTTTAAAGTTGTTTGTTGAATTGCCATAAAGAGTTATCATATCAGGTTCCTTTAATATATTATGCACCTTAATGGTGTAACCTCATAAAACACTAAAACCTTTTTTTTTCTCTTTTCTATAATCCAATCGTATAGCTTTTTTCACCCTAGAGTAAAGCTCTGTTCGACCAGAGCTGACTCGCTTGGTTCTTTGTTTTATCTCAGCTCCTATAGCCTACTTACTTTAATCCAATGACCAACCATGCTAGGATCAAGCTTAAAGGTTGCCACGGCTTTATTCCTCCCAATTTCTTTAGCATAGGTGACAACTTGTTTTTTATTTTTCGATAGACGCTTAAGTTTAGGAACTTTCTTTTTTCATATACATTATTACTATATTCGTTTCGTGGCAACATAGCAATAACGATAATAACAATACATATTACGTATAAATTAAGATTACTTCCTATTCTATCTTTTATATGTATTTACATAACGATAAATTTCAGCATACGTATCATAAATCTTATCAAAAAAAGTTATCCAAAATTAAGCACCCCCTATAACAAAAAAAGGGTGCTTAATTTCGGAACTATACGGTATTCATCACCAATTCTTCCTCACTCTATTTCAATCTTATCTAGTCTATTAAATGGTGTTCATTCAATCATTTCCTTATACTCACAGACTCTATGCTAAAACCCTTTCACACAGTCATTAATTTTGTTTTCGCTTATCTATTCTTAAATTATTATGATGGGAACACATGACAAATATTATTTATTAATATATGTAAATATTTTATATAATAAAATGAGACTAAAAATTAAATATTCATGAACATAAAATAGTTTGAATACTTGATTAATAAATATTCTTTATATGCATGAACTAACTTAATGCGAATTAAATGAAATTAAAAAGTTTATTTGTACCATAAGTTGGAATGCTTTTAAATACTGCTAATTTATTATACGAGTTGGCCAAAGAAAATGTGACAGCAGGATTTCAAGTTTATCATTAATTATTTATTGGATTCAGCTTATGAAAATCTAATTGTTGATATATGCGATATATATGATTATGTTCTTTACAAAAAACCTGTTAAAATTGAACTTGCTAAAAATAAGCAATTTAATGGTGCTGATAATGTACTATTAAAATACAAAATTTTGCAAATATAAGCATTTTATTAGCATTTTATTACTATATTTTAATTTTATAAATATATTTGTCAATTATTATGTTAATAAAATGCTAATATTAGCAATATATTATCAACATTTTAATAATAATAATGGCCTAAAAATTACTATTATTTAACTAATTTATTAGACGCTGATAATGAAATAACCTTGTAATAAATTATTAAAATTGCTAACTTAGTACTAATAATACACTATATATTGCTTATTATTTGCGAATAATTGCATATCTCGAAATTATCAGATTTTTGTAAAGTTACCATCAAGAGCTGAATCTAATAAATAATAAATGATAAAATTGAAAACCCGAAGTTTCATTTTCTTTTGGCAGCATTCTTGATAATTCATCGTAGATAAGATGCAGTTGGTCTGCTAAAAGGATTAGGCTCCACACATTGATTTGCTAATTGAATATAATGCTTGGGAGTATTTTCAACAATCTCAGGACGTAATTTAGATAGCTAATTTTTATCATACTCACTAGTACGTATAACAGGGTGGTCTTCCATAAATGTTTACTACTATTGTAAATTATTTAGTCGTTTATTTAACAATTCTGAGGCAACGTAAAGTAATACGCCATAAACCGACTCGAATTTCTTTCTAGATAATCTTAGACTTGTAATATGAAATATTAAACCTCCATCAGCATATTAATTTTGCGATATTACTGCTATGAAAAGTGCTATTATAAAAACAAATAGAAAATGAAAATGAGGCATGATACGCTAAGATGAATAATAGAAGTAATTAATAACATGATAATAAGAATAATCAATTTAGAAATGAGATAATAAAGTGTAAATCGATCGATTATTACTAAGAAAGCACACTCATAAACTAAATTTTGAGATATCAAAAATTTTTGATTCAATTATTATCTCTACGGGTAACCAGCGGGTTGCCCATAATTTTGAGAGCCGGGTTAGGATATTAAATTTTAGGCCCTGGGCAAGGGTAGGTTTAAATAAATTAAGTCCTTATATCAAGA